GAGCTACAGTGGAGTTTTTCTGTATTGCATTGTACTTCACTGTCCCTGGGAAGTTAATGCCTTTAGCTTCATCTGGAGAGGATCTTAAGAATTATTTTGTACTGTAAAATATACTTCAGGATTCTGCTTCTGCTGCTATCTCTGCTCTCATATCCTTAATAAAGAGTAATGGGTTTGCATAAGAAAGCAGAGAACTGTTCATTTCTGTGATTAATTGCTTCCAGTTCCAGTAAACTGGATTACTGGTAGAATTGATTGAAGTGAAATTAACAGTGTAGAGGGATCCATTAACCTCAGTGAAAGTCTTTTTGTACATTTGCATGAGCGAAGAGAAATGCAGGAGGTGATATGAAATTTCTGTCAAAGTATGTCTATTCTGCAGGATTAATCTACTTGTTAATCCTTTGCCAGGATAATTCATTGCCTGCACTTGGTAATCTTTCTCTTTCTCCATCTTGACATGAAAAACACAGCTCACACAGTTGTTTTTGATTGGCGAGCTGAGCGTGTCTCTGCATTCAGGCTAATTACATACCCTTGAGGAAGCCTGGTCAGACTTAGTTACTGATGCAGCCCAGATTCCAACCCGAGTCTCCAAGCAGGAGCCTGCACAGGCAGAGCCACGTCAGAGCCTGGTTTTGCGATTTTCAAACAGTTCTTATGTGTGCAATTGAAGATTATTGTAATGAAGGCTACAGTAATCACTGCAGCAACTTTCCATTGTATTTGCTGTCTTGGAGAATTTTTTCCACTTCCCCTTTTAAGACAGTTGAAAGACGTTTTTATTTCATGCGCATGGGAGCAAAATTCACAGAGATGCTCGGTGTATTTTTCTCAAAGTGAAGTTAACTCAGAATAGCTCTTAAATATTTTTCTGTTGTCTATCTTGCTTCCCTGTGCTTATCTGACGGGCAACATTCCAAGATCACACTCATCTTCCTATATTTCTATATTTGCCAAAGATAACATCTTTTAACACACTTGGTTACATATATGTTATTACAGAACACAGGAAGCCCTTGTGTCCAGCATTCTTCCGTTCAAGTCAGTTCTGTGTGTCCACCTTATAAAATGCTGCAGTGTCAGCAAGAAAAGAATGTACAAGGTTCACCGAGAGCCTCTCAACAGCTGGTTTGTATGAGTGTAATTCTTCTGCTGATGGGTTAGTAACAGATCTAACCTAGTTATGTCACTGCTTTCAGAAGGCTAGATTTGTATGTCCTCGAGCAGAGTGTTAAGAGCAAGTTAACCTCTCCTCTCTGCACCATGTCCGTCACAAGCAGCGCCCCTCCGAGAAGCACTCAGATGCCTGCTTCAGCACTCAGCTAAGACACGGCTGCAGTTTGTAAGAAAAAGGGCCATACGTTTTCCAGCAGCTTTGCAAGAAATGTTTCTGACAGGCTTGAGTCTGCCAGTCATACCCTAAAATAAGATTATCCTCTCCCTGGCTCAAAGAAATATTCTATTCTCACAGGATAAAAGAATGAATCTTTTCACTCTTGCACAAAGGAGGCTATGGGGGGACCCAAGTCAAGTATTCAGAATCATCAAAGACATCGATAGATTGAACCTAAAGTCTTTGTATTTCAGATATTTTGGTTTCCTCTTCATGCCTGATGCCACTTAGCTCATTTGCGACAGAATAAGACATTTATTTATGCAAGTTTATGTAGTTTGCACGATCATAATTGCAATTCTTCTCAGTCAGTGCAAACACAATTAGGTCATCGGCATGCCAGAGAAAACTTCATTAGGCTCACTTGACCTTATTTTTTTTTAGTTTATTGAACAGGGACAGAGCACAGCTCTTAAGCTGCATCAGACTTAGCTAAAAACTCAATTTACATCTGCATTCCCTGGGCAGGAGACAGCCAACAAAATACAAGACACAGACACAACATAAAAAATACAAAAACAGCACAGCTGCAGGTGTAACTGCCCTTGTATTCACACAGCACTTCCTGCTTGGGCATCTAACAGTCTGGGAATACAGCTGCAGCTGCTTCACTAGAGGGTAGAGAGGTACTGTATGTGTTACAACCGGTTTGAAGGTTATATGATGCTGGTATTCAGAAGTTTAGAAATTAAAGCTAAACCTATTGGATATTTGTGAAATAGGATTTGGTAGCGAATAGACAGCACTCCAATTATTCCATGTAGCGCTGGTGGTGACTGCAGAATTTGAAAGCATTTGAGCGTTGCCCTTGGAGCAGTATAGATAATACCTCTAAAGGTTTTCTCTGGGGGGAAAATATTCTAATTTGCTGGAGCATTTGGCAATTAAGTCAGAAATAAAGTCCTAAAACTCACAAAGGAGTGTGGCTAGAATTCTTTAAGAGCGGAGGTGATTGTGGATGTTCTGAGCGCAGGGTCCAGAGCCATTAGTTATCCGTTGTGATGCCTAACACTCAGCTTTTTTCGGCCATGGGCTTAGAATTTCAAATATATTATTTACATTATAGCTCTTCTGTCTCTTCAGGTCTCTTCCGTTTTAACGATCACTAGATGTACATATGGAAGTGCAGACATCAAAAGCTATTTAAGTCTGTTTCAATCCTTCGATGTAATGTTTCCACACCACAGAGGCCCCACCAGAGACTCCCCCCGTTACCCTTCAGAATAAGAGTGTCTAGTCTGCAGTAAATAACTCCATGGACTTCAGGTTGTTTCTGTCAGAAGCAATAGTTCTTTCATTTGCAGATCTCTTGCATAATGAACGTGAAGAAGGTACCGCACATCACACAATTGCCTGGAAGCATCAGTAATTGGCTTGATGGAAGTCATATGAAAATCAGATAGATTGCATTTAAAGAAGGCTGGAAATATTTTATGTGCAATTTTGTTGGGAGCCTCTGAACAATTGTGTTTGGGGAGGAGCTGTTTATAGTCAGAATCCATTCTCTTAAAGGGACAGACTTCATACTAAGTAATTTGAAGGGACTGTGCTTGCCTATGGTTTTTGAAGTCGTTGGATAAATCTAATACTGCATTTATGTATTCCATGCCGCAAACTGTCGTGAAATTCACATATAACCACTTCCTCCCCTCCACTGTACCATCATATAATGTTCTACAGTATATAGTATGTATGGTTAAAAGACCTAAGTAACCCACTCTTATATGATAAAGTACTAATGCATTGGTTGCAAGTTTAAATAACCATAGGGTAAAATAACTGACCAACTAAAACAAACAACCATAATCACAAACGTATAGTTATTGGCAAAAATAAACAACGTGAATCCCTCCTATGTGTCCATTGGATACCTGCACTTTCTCTCTCTGCCCCACTGTAATCAAAACTGTACAGTCCACTCCAGCCTGTCACTCCCCACCCTGCTGGCACAGAACCTGGAGCTTTTGTTACGATACACAAACTCGAGACCACATTGAGATGCGGGGTCTGGGCAGTGAGCACTTCTGCAGGGGGCAGGGAGAGACTTGTTCATTAGCTTGATTCATCTCACAGTCCTAGTCTGCTGTGCTCGGTTTCATCCCGATCTGTTTGTCTTACATACAAAACCCAGTCTGCCAGGCGGAAGTGCAAATAAGCGAATGTTAAATTCGCAGATGTCAAGACCCTACTGTTCTTGTTACCTGCTGGCAGTTTCACAAACAGGTGAAGCATGTGGCCTGTAGGTCTGAAGTCGAAGGGGGCTTCCTGCAGATCTTCATTTGTTGATCTCTTTTGCTTTACCTCATAAGCCAGGGCAGTAAGGTGGATTGGATGCTTTTGCACTTGAGTTTGCAGCTTTTAAATCAACAGGAGGCTCCAGACGCAGCAGAGCACTTTTCTCACAAATACACTCACCTAGTGTACCCTAGCAACCGTGGTATGTGAACACAAAGGAAGTGGAGTTAGTGGAGCTGTGGAAGGAATGCTGATGGAGAGCTGACACTCTGAGGGTGTCGGCCCCAGCAGGGCGTCCATCATTCTCACACTGCCGCGAATCGGGAGAAAAGATCTTGCATGTCCCTGACTTTAATGGTGTTTGTAAATTGGCTTGTCAGGAAACGGCCGAGACTGGCCAAGAAAATTTATCAGCTCGATGAAGGCAAATTGATTTCTTTTTTTCCTGGAGAAGAATGACCTTCCCGATGGGTTGTGTTGAAAATATGTTGGTGTGGCACAGTGTGCCGTTTTTTCCTCTCCTGGTCCTGCAGTGTGCCCAGCCTCAGTGCTCACCCACAGCTCCCACTGAGCAAATCTGAGGGGCATTTACAGTGCTGGAGCAGACAGCTTGTGAGTGATACATGACAGTGGCCGTGTGTTGTTTATATGTAAATGAAATGTTACTACAGGACTTGTTGACTAGTGATTTGGACTGGATTCAGGAGTGTTTTCAAAGTGCTGTTTTTTTTTCCAAATGGCTGTTTTTTTTCTGAACTAAAGCGGGTTTGTTCATTTGCACAAATCACCTTTTCTCTTTTCTTTAAACTTTTCCCCGAACAGTTTTGTATATGAGGAGTTTTGTATTAGACAAGGTGTCTTAATAGCATTTAGAAATCCTCTGTGATATCCTTTGCCATATTTTGTTTAAAATGGTATCAAAAATGGGAGTGGTATTCATTGTCAATTTCAATTTGCCTTAGGTCTGTGCTAATTGGCAAATATATGCACAGCTTCACAGGTAAAGCCTTAATCTCCACACGCCTTGAGGCTGTTTCCTGGTGAGCAGTGTCTTTTCCAAGGTGGGATCAGATTTCCAAAGTGCCTGCTGACTCATGGTAAACTCATGTGCCTCAGCTTGTCTCTGAGGCAGTGCAAGCCAGTTACGGGGAGCTCTCCCGAGTCTGAGCGACTCCAGACGGGTGTTCAAATGAAAAAGGGGAAGGGTGCCCTTTGGTAATGTCGTGCTGTTGGTGAGAAAAAGGGTGCTGATGGGCCGGGGAGAGACAAGAGGGGCGCAGCGATGGAGAAATTCTTATTTCAGCCCATCAAGTCCCAGGTGCTTTGCTCTGCGGCTGAGCCTTTTCCTCCCCCTTCCTTTTTTAATCAGAGCACCTGAAGGCCTCTCTGGAGGAGTACATGGTGCGTTTGCCGAAGGTGAGAATCCTGCGGACGAAGAAGAGGGAGGGCCTGATCCGGACGCGGCTCCTGGGAGCGACAGCGGCCAAAGGAGAGGTCATCACCTTCCTGGACTCGCACTGCGAGGCCAACGTGAACTGGCTGCCCCCTCTGCTCGGTCAGTGGAGCGCCCGCCCTGTGCTGAACACACACTGAACAGTGTTTTTATATCCCCCCTTGCCTGTCACCAGTTAGCGCCGAGGTCATGGTGAGACACACGGCGCATCTGTTCTTCTGCAGTTAGACATCAGACGCTTCCAACACGCAACGACGATGAGAGAGATCAGTCTGGATTATGACACGAGTAGGAGAGTAGTACTGCGGTTAAGAAATAAAGTGATATACATACTCCAAAAGTAGTGGGAACGCAAGTTCAGAACTGTTGTTTTTGCTTCACAGTCATTCCATTTGTATTTGTGTCCGCTACAAACATGCAAGTGCACACCTTTCCCCTCTGTCACCGTGGTGACCGACTCCGCCTTTCCCCTCCCCTGCCACGGTGACCAACTCTGCTTTTCCCCTCAGTCACCGCGGTGACCGACTCCGCCTTTCCCTTCTGTCGCCGCAGTGACTGACTCCGCCTTTCCCCTCCATTGCCGTGGTGACCGACTCCGCCTTTCCCCTCCGTCGCCATCGTGACTGACTCCGCCTTCCCCCTCTGTCGCCGCGGTGACCGACTCCGCCTTTCCCCTCCGCTGCCGCGGTGACCGACTGCATGGCCGTCATCAGCAGATGTGGACACGTGTAAAGGAGGGAGACCTGTCTCTCGGGGATGTTGGCAGCTTAGGAATGTAACATCTGGCAAGGCCCTGCGGTCACGGCCACGCCCCCCCCAGGTTCCTCCAGTGTTTTTTATCACGAGAACAATGAGCACACAATGATTTACAAGTGTGTGTCCTAGTACTTCCATGCACACATTTGAGTTGCATGCATTGGGTTGTGTATCCCCTTTCAGGCAGTAACTGCACAAAGTCTCCATCCCACTGAGCTCACCACTCTGTGTAGCTAAGGGATGCTTTGCCAACCCTTTGCGTGACACTTGCAGTTCTTGCCTGTTCTTGGCATGTTCTAATTTCAGCAAGTATAATGCATATTCAGTTGGATGTAATGTAATGTTTCATTGACCGTATTTTTAGGTCGGTGTTATGCTGCCCGGTGAAACACCGCACAATAACTCAGCCTGCAGAAGATGACAAATTGTTTCTGTAAAATTCAGAATTGGTTCTGCTGCTGCCATCACATTTTTACATTACATACGTCCATGACATTGTTAGTTTCAGTAGACAGCAAGATTTATCGTGGTCTCATCTGTCCGTAAAGGCTTGTTCAAAGCTCTCCTGGCTCATGCTGGCATTTCGAGCAAATTCTGAAACTTTGGGGAGGCACCCCCATGCCGGGAGCTGCCCACAGATCGGATGTATATTATATTGCATTTGTCATTCGTATGAATCTCGAGGTCATTAATACTAATTGCTTAACTGTGAAGTGAAAATATCAGTTTTGACTTTGCTGTCCCAGTACTTCTGGAGGCTGTTATCTTCAGTGATTCATTTTTTAAATCGGAGTAAAGTTCGGATTTCTATTAAGGTTTAGTTGTGTGTGTGTGTGTGAATACGTTACGTACTGGATATTTTCTCTTCTGCAAATCTGTTGTGAAATGTTTATTACTCACTTAAAAGGAGGTATGACAGATATAAATATGGAAGAATTTAAGGAGGGCAAAATTGAGTTCACATGTGAGGTATGTTGATACCTTTTGTTGATTATAATTCTTGGAACTTATAGCTCGAAGGTGATGTGTGTGTGTATGATATAGGTTCTGTTTCATCTCTATAGATGCTATTTTTGCTCCCAGCATGTTAACTAGTTAACATGGACAGAAAATGTTTTGTTACCATTATAGGAAAAAATTATAGTACATGTAGGGAGATAATTACTTTGGTTTTGAAGGCTTATGTGGAGGTAAATTCCATTAGTCTCACTTCTGGAGTCTGATATATTACTGATCTCACTATTTGAACCAAACATTTATTCTTGTAATGTTTGACAATGAAATATTAGTTTTACCTGTTTGCTAAATTTAAATAGGTAACAATCGATAAGACTCTTTGAAAAGTAATTGTTCTGAGGACAGAGGAAAGGTTCCAAGTGAGAGGAGACCATTAGGTCTGTCTGGCTTGTCTTGATTTCTACTAGCTAATGGATCTGCAAGCCCACAAGGGCTTTCGTTACAAGATAATTACAGTAAGCAGCATTTAAAAAAAACGCTCATTGAGAGAGGCACAAGCAGGACGCGCAGTAACTTGCTAAGGACCCACTCAGCTTGAAGTTAACACCAGAAGCCCTGGGCGTGCGGTGTGGAGGAGTGACTGGAACGTTGTGGGTTCGAGTCATTTCACTCACATTGCTCTCGTATGATGCCCAGCAGTATAGGTGGGAGCAAGTATGAGTCACTGTGATATTAATTAGTGATAACAGAGGTCCTAAACACTCCAGAACAGCACTCCTCTCTCTTGACCCCATAGAGCCACAAGGTCTTCTGGTTGTCATTCAGCCTGAGCTCAGCTAATGGCTTAATTGACTCAGTTATTGACTTAATCACAGTCTCGTCATCGCTAGGCTGGAGCTGCAGTAGGATGGCCTGCTGTGCTCTGGCCTGCCCCCACACAGTTTTCCCAGCTTTCAGTTCCAGAGGAGAGTTTTCTGTTGCATTAACATGGAAAGGAGGGATCTTCTCCCGCTCAGACATCCTTTGGAAATGCTCGGTACTGCCGGGGAGCTGAGCTTCCAGAGACACTCCCCCTGCTAGGGTTTCGAATGGGATAGAGACGTTTCAACCAGCGTGATGTTATCTTTCGCCACCGCCTTCCGGTGCGGTCCGGTGCCGGCCCTAACCCCGCTGTGTCTCCGGCCCTCGGTTCCAGACCGGATCGCTCAGAACCGCAAGACCATCGTGTGCCCCATGATCGACGTGATCGACCACGACAACTTCGGCTACGAGACACAGGCGGGCGACGCCATGCGGGGGGCCTTCGACTGGGAGATGTACTACAAGCGCATCCCCATCCCCCCGGAGCTGCAGAGACCGGACCCCAGCGAGCCCTTTGAGTGAGTGGCGTCTGGGGCGGGGGGCCGGGGGGGTTGGGTTTCATGTGCTCGGGGCTCCATCAGCGCTCGCTCGCTTCAGAGGTCAGTACAGTCGACTCGCGGAGGCGATTTGCAACTCTAAGTTGAAAACTAGATTGCGAGTCCGAATATTCATGGACGATTAAACTAGGGTCTGATTCCGGTGGAGCCGTCTGGGGCTGCAGAATGTAAATCAGACAAAAGGGAGCTGCCTGAAGTCAGAGCAGACGTTGCGGGGAATCTCCGCCCCACCTGTAGCTGCCCTCTTCCTCTGCGGGCCCAGCACTTCGGCCCGTGTGCTCAAGCATCTCCCTGCACCGCCTGCCCTGTAGCTGCTCGCACTTCTGCGTTTGACCCAGGTTTCTTTCGGGCCTGTTAGCGCGGCAGCATTTATCCTTTCCAAAGCCCTGATTGTTGTGACGGGCTCGCTGCCGGCTCACAGGGTGCGCGACCGCTCACTCGGCGGGCGGGTGTCAAGGAGAAGAGAGCGTGGCACCGGCCAGAGCGTGTCACATTGTCCAGAGCCTGTCACATTGTCCAGAG